ACATCTTACAGCATCAAAGAAGCATACTTTAAAATGAGTCATCGAGGCAGACTTTGTTTCCCACCCTTTTCTTCCCATAGCTTACCACATAATTTCTTCCCATAGCTTACCCCATAATTTTCAAGGAGTGCAGCAATTTTTCACAATATTCCCTGGAGTATCTCATGAGAACATAAACTCCAATAACCCAGTTCCTAAAGTGACACCGGTATGACTCAATTGAATCACAGTATCTTCAGTGTGCTCTTTAAGTGGATCAGGTCGGGTTACAATATTGAAAAGCAAGATCTTTTTCTAAATGCCGGCCAGGCCCAGTCCGGATCCTCAGTCAGGGAAAAAAGTGTAGAGTTCAGACTTTCAGCAGCAGATATGATTGAACACCTCTGCTTGTAGATTTTAGCTTTCTTGTCACCGGTCTGTTCACAGAAAGCCTAGTGAGGTTAAATGAACTAATATTCCTACAGCAATATCTAGTTAGTGTATTAAAATTTCATTATTTCATTCTGTCTCTTCCTCTTGAACAGCTGGAGTAGTAAAGAACAGAAGAGAAAAGTACTGGAATAAAGATGAAATAAAATGGGAATACTAGAAAGCATTAAATAACTTTAAAACTCCTTTTAATTTCTAGTAGCTTCCGTTCTGGTATAGAACAGCCTGAAATATAAGACAATCACATTTTGCTAATTTCTTCTCTTCCAAATCTTGAAAAAGCTTTGAACCACAAATTTATTTATCTCTTAAGCTGTTAAGTCTTATATTATGCATTTAATAAGAATAGTGGACTCTATTAATCCTTACATATGTTTTAAAAAATTCACAGATTAAAATCTTTCAAATTCAACATAACATATAATTTATGTTCTTTACTATTAAATTGAAAGTAGAGAATACAGTATCTTTCTTCAGAAGCCACCAGGAGACACATTTCGAGAACCATCTCCTGTAATAATTCACTAACAAATATTTCACAAATTGTTCATTTCTTGGGCCTCATTCTCTTCAAATGCAAAATGGGAGATTAATACCTGCATTATCTTTAGTATTTCCCGACATGTCAGAGAAAAAATTGACAGGAATTTTTTAGTAGTTAGAAGATTTTAGTAGGTAGAAGAGAGGATAAGATTAGAAAAGACACATAAGTGAAGATAAAATAGTGTTTTTTTGTATAGTGGCCCCCTCACAATTCACACGAGTAATGTTCTTAGAGGACCCACAAATTGTGAAAAATCACAAATTTCAGATATGGTCAGAAAAAATGCTAATAAATGCCTATTTTTATAATTTCAAAACAACGTGATTTCTCACACAGTTATGTAATTTAATTTAATGAAATACTATTTTAATAAGGTGTTTTGGTGGCATCTTAGAGATCTTAGGGCTTTAAGAACAAAACTGAGAACAAGTGGTACTCAACCTGCTAGGATGCGGAATGCTGGTGCTTCTGACGGAGATGCCGCCAGGAGAACTGAGTAACGCTCTTGGACTGGTTGCTTGCAATCCCACTCCTCC